AGCCTCAGATCTCAGTTGCCTGAGTAGTTAGAATAACAGAGTATGAGCCACTGGCATCCATGCTACAAATGGCTTGTGATGTAGGGGTGTCACATAGAAATAAGGACATCAACCCGAAAGGAACTTGGCAAGACATAAAGTTTATCTGCTACTTTAGCTGAGCTCAGGTTCACAATCTGCAAAAGGATATGGCTTAATTAATTCAAGGTGCTTCTAATAGGATGTCTTTATTAAAATGCAACAGGTAAAGGATGTAACAAATTAACAAAAGGCCAACCCACCTAGCCAAGCAGGAACTTTTCAGAAAAAAACAATTCTTACAAAATTAACAGAAAAGAAGCAAACTATTTTAATAGAAAAGATGACTTTCTCATACCCAGCTCTCTTCCTTATTCTTAAATGGTGCTTCCTTGCAAATGACATTTTTTGAAAAACATAGTTTCTCTGTACCTCCTATTACTTTATTCTGGGAATATCTTCTCCTTAAGTTTTTTTTTTTTTTTTGGGTCCGGTCATGGGGCCTGAACTCTGGGCCTGGGTGCTGTCCCTCAGCTCTTCAGCTCAAGGCTAGCGCTCTACCACTTGAGCCACAGCATCACTTCCAGCTTTTTTCTGCTTATGTGGTGCTGAGGAATCGAACCCAGGGCCTCGAGCATGCAAGGTAAGCGCTCTACCACTGAGCCACCTTCCCAGCCCCTTCTCCTTAAGTTTTGTAAAGCCAAACCTATATTAATCTAGTCCTGTTGTTTATGTCAAATGTGCATGTATGATTAGCCAGTAGTGTGAATGAGCATAGATTTAAAAAATTAAACTGGTTTTCCTTCTGTTCTTTTGGTATTCAACACTGTCAATGAAACATAGAATGTTAGTCTACTCAGTCTTTTCTCTATAAACCTCTTTACTCTGTTTTAGACTGTTTTCCTCTTTATGTCATTTATTTCTTATGTTTTATTATTGACAGGTTTCATTGTAAGATTTCTGATGTACATATAATGTACTTTGATCATAATCACCCCTTCCATCACTTTTTTTTATTCCCCACTGATAGTCTCCCTTCCTCCTTTTCATAGCTTTTTTTTTTTAAGATCTATCAACCAGGGAGAAGATGGTCTTTGCTAGCCCACGGCAATCCTCTTTACTTTTTCCTAGCTGGTCAGGTCTGAAGAGCAGGATAAGGCACAGGGTGTGTGGGGATAGGGATCCTAGGGCTAATTTCCCCTCAGAACAACATTGCAACAGAAGCTTGATGAGAGCAAAACTGGTGAGACTTGATGCATTCAGTCAGAGTCACTGAGGATTGCTTGCCATGCTAGTGGTGTTTGTGCATCTTTTAATGTGGTTTCTTTATTTTCTTCAGTGTTTTCTTGTCCATTGTAGCTCATGCGTCTACCATGCTAGGAACCAGGGGATTCACAGGACACATGCCAGGTGCAGGGTGTGTGGGTATGGGAGAGGGTAAGGACCTGAGGATGGCATCCTAGATACTGTGGCTGTGGCATAGGTTAAGGAGGCCCATATGGAAGGAAACCTGGGCTCCCCTGAGGAACTCCTGAGGGAAGGGGACAGGATTGGAACCTCCAGGACACCCTATGTAGGGGATACTTAGATTTTGTGCTGCCTGCCCAGCATTTGGATGCCACATGTTCAGATGTTTTCCCAAGCCTTTCCTCTACCACCTGGATGGTCCTCCCATGCCTTTTTCTTAATTTTGTTTTTTGTAGTTCTGGGATTTGAACTCAGGGTCTTGTGCTAGCTGGCAGGTGCTCTACCACTTGAGCCACACTCCTGACTATATTTTCTTTTTTCTCAAGTAGAATCACTAATTTGTAAATTATATACCAACTCATTCATTCTCAGAAATATATTTTTTGTTTACTTCATGATAGCCATTGTGGCTGGCTTGAGAGGGAATTTCAATGATGCTTTGATTAGTATTTTCTTTGTGTATTTTGAACACTTCTTCATATTTTTTACTTTCTATTCTTCCTTTGAAAACTGTTCATTTGGTTGTTTATTAATTATATTACTGTTTCTGTTTTTTAGCTCTTTATATTCTAGTTTTGTCTTGTCAAATAAATAGCTGGCAAATACTTTCTCCTATTCTATAAGCTTTCGCTTTGTCCTTATAATTTATTTCCTTGGATGGCAGAAAGATTTTTTAATCTGATGAAATTCGTGCTCTTACTTATAGCAATTGAAGTCGTTTTCTGTACTTGTATTTGAAGGGCTTTCTCTAGTAGTCTCAATAATTTATGCCTTACATTGATGTTTTTGAACCATTTTGAATTGAATTTTTGTACAAGATTAGAGATATATGTCTAGTTTTAATTTTCTACATGTCAATATCCAATTTTCTCAGCATCATTTGTTGAAGGGATGTTTTCTCAAAGGCCTCTGCCTCTATTGTGATGAGCACATGGATATAATTTTTGTGCCTGATTCCACTTCTGTATCGTAATATGTTCATTGATTTGTGTGTGTGTGTGTGTGTGTGTGTGTG